GTAAGTGCTGCTGCACCGCTTGGTCCATCTTCTAAGTTCCGGTAGGCGATACCAAATTTAGTTTGTTTATGATGCTGCCTTGTCCTGAAGTACAGCGGTTGAAATAGCCTTGCTCGTTGCCACTCTTAATCAATAAAATAAACTTCTTTGTTTCCTCTTGCTGTGGTCTTTGACAACCGCTGTAGGTTTGACCGTCACTCGTCTTTCGCTTACCTCCCATTTCCCATTATCTACCTGATCTAGCTTTCGTTTCCCATCATCTACCCTCGCATGACCATCGCCTCGCGTCCGCCTGAACCGCTACCACCAGATTTTCACTGGGCACCGTCGTCAGTCGGTTCTCGCTGTACCCGTAGCTTCGCGGTACATGGCGGTATAACTTATCGACGCACTCGGCATCAATTGAACTATTGTGAGATAAGCTTGCGGGTGATTGAATACTTATCTACAGCTGTCGCGGCAAAGGTGGCCCGGCAGATGAATCCCGGTTGCGCTATGGCTGCTGGGCCCTAATTTGACCAACGTGGCCGCTGGCGCTTCATAAGAAGCGTGACGACGTGCATTGCGTTCTGTTAAAAAAATGACGGTCCGCCAGACGTCAGACAGCATTTACAAGTATTTTCATAAGCCGATGTCATTGCTATTAGAGAATGATTTGGAAAATGATTGGAAGTTCCAAGATTATGGTACCGAAAGAGCTTTTCCATAGCTTACCGAACTCAGCGTCTCAGGTTACCATGGATACCCGTCGTTAGGGTCAAGGCTGTTGAGGTAGAGCTGAAGCTGCGCTCCGTGTTGACCTCTCCAAGTGAGGAAATGTTACCTGTCTGGTGTTTTACTCGACGTGCTATAATATGCTGGAATAAATCACCGATCATGGCATGTTTAACATAGTATTTTCCTCTCTTCTCCCCCACTTGGTTTTATTTCAAGTAGCGTAAAAATCGAAGTGGGCTGCAAAAATCCTGCTTTATAAGCTTTATACGATATCATGCATTTTGCATACTAATGCTCCCACAAATTGAAGACGTCATTAGCTCACCTAACTGACGCTTCTTCTATACGTAAATAATGTCTTCAGAAGGCCTAGTCACCGCCATATATGTTTTACTAGAGATTATGACAATGGTCCCACGGCCAGGAAAGGCACACGACGACCGGGTGGAAGAGTGACGTCACCGTGACGCGAAATAGTCGCTGATGTTGAGACACAATCCTGTCTGACTAAGGAAACCAGCTGTTACGCATAAGAATGTAAACAAAAATAAACCTCACAGTCATAAAAATCGTACCTCCCCTTAAGCCTGATAATGGCCGCCGTAACGTCGAACTTGGGTTAAAAGCATCCGCAGTACTTTAAATAGCAGCACGATTTATCGTATTTCTTGGCTAATTTTTACTGAGTTATGGCAAGTACCTTAATACCTACGTGATATAAATATTCTGAAAATCGGAGAAAATAGACATTTTACATACGCACATACAAACATTTGAATTAACCTACATTATCACGCTATAGGCCAATTCAGTGTTATCCTGCAGTTGATAAGACTTGCATTGCCTAATATTCATATGTTTTGTCATTGTGTATCCCTTGACATAATGTTACAAGTCGTATCGGTTAGTTTGTTCACTGCACAAATACCCTGCCAAAAGTCAACATGCAAAACAGAGATGGACAGGTAGCTTGAAAAATGTCACATTTTCCGCCGCGCAGTCTATGACCGTTGGAGACACTGCAGATGTATTTAAAAGAAAAGACAGTGGGATCAAATCAGTTTTTGCCTTTTGTACATACTCAATCAAAACATAAAACAATGAACACACTTTTTCACTTTTTCTTTCAACTGACCTTGGTCAACTGTACCTTTTACTGAAAAGACAGGGCACACAGGGGCAGTACGAGAGCCAACCTCCTGACTTGGTTGTAGAATGGCTGACCAATTTGAAAGGGCGCATACGAATTAGCGTCCGAAACGATCAAGCGTACCAGGCCGTGCTTGCTTGCATACTGACTTGAATCGTCACGAACACATGCATTTTGATGTACCCGATTTGCGAATTCCCTCATAAACGTTGCACTCACATAAATCATGTTATGACCGATCCTCAATCGATGCTCAACCTCATTTTGTGAGTCATCTGATTGGGAAGATTTTCCTGTGCTCATCTGGTTGTCGTGGTTTCGTTTTTTTGTTTTCTTTTGGGGGGGCGGAAAAGTATCGATGCGTTTTGTCAGTGCAAACAAGACGCTGGCCTGAAATTGTGTTTGGTTGACAGTTGAAATGTCACGGAGGCTGGCACCGACCTTTTTATTTTATGACTGTTTTTAATAGTCGAACGGTAATGGGTCCATACGAATCCCTCTTCTGAGTAATGCTGCTCTCGCCCGGTGAGAATTGGGCGACTCTGAAACCAACTCGCTTTGCCCCGCGAATTGGAAGTATCGAGCCTCTCAACCCCAATTTGGACTCCGGCAGTGCGCCCCACCGCCCCCAGCACCACGCTGTAATTGGCTCCTTCCGCAGGTCATTGAGGACGGGGTTCGCGCCCAGCCTTTCTGACGTCATCGTCCAGGTGGTTCTGCACCGCCACACGCTGCCACCGGCAGAAATAATTGGTTTCCGGCCTAATATAGATTAAAGGTTAGACTCGAAATGAATTGGGATCAAACAATGAACTTTCTATTTTTCATCTGGATTTTCCTCTTATACGAAAAGTTATCAAGAACATCTGTTCCCACTAAGTCTTCCTTTTGTTGCTTGACGTTGGCAGTTTCTTTTCTTTTATGGCTCAACATTGCGGCAGTGCTTTGAATGCGCTGGAAGACATGGGTACGCATAACACATTGGTTACATTGATAATCGTGGTCAAGGATGATGGTGACGATAGTGCTAGGTTTGATAAATATCAACGGGTAAAGGAGTGGAGCCACCTACATGGAGTAGGTCAATGCACCGTCTTAAGTTAAGTAAACTACGTTAACTAAGCTGAGCCCCGTCCTCAGTGACCTACGGAGGGAGCCAGTTACAGCGCGGCGGCAATTCACCAGGGGTCGACCAGCGCAGCAGTTTGCGATCCTGCTCCCAGGTCATGGACATGACCTGAAATAATATGATCATAAAAACGCCACCTTCAGATAATCAAACCCACTGTGTCGATGTCTGTCAAAATCCTCTCTTCACTGGTTGTTTTTCGGTCTTGGAGCTGAAACGGACGTTTAATGGATTTTTAATGCACTATTTTAGTGTTCAAATCTGACTCATCCAACTAGTTGCTGTAAGTTCGCCAAAAGTCGTTTCCAATAACGTTTGGCTTGCCCACCGCGTCCCTAGCAACTAACCGGACGTCGCGTGACAGCGCAACTCGAACGACTACCTGAAGGTTAACGCCCCTCGCGTGAATAGCGCCAACTGAGTATCTACCACGCAGCGCTTTTTGCATATCGTCTGTTCATTCGATTTCGGCTTTTTATTGCAGGTGCTCAGACACAACGGCATTCGTAAGACGAAGGGACGTAAAGCCCCGACAATTATCATCGCACGACTGCGTGTCTTACCTGTCATTGCGCGTTTTACGTCGTCATCCTAAGGTGACAGGACAAAAGCACACGTACCCTCGTACAGACAGATAAGAACTTGTCGCTGGAAATCAAACCCTCCAAACCATCCAATACGCGTTTTTGGATTTCGCGCGAAGAAGGTCATGGTGCCATACGCACGGCGCGGTCTGCGCATTCGTGGTGAACTCGCTTTAGTTCTGAACCGTACCTGGTGTCGAAGGAGCCGCGCGCGTGGCATGCGTCGTATAACACTGCTGCTCCGTAAATGGACTGCTGTTGGGGTTATTGACGGAGAACAGCGCGCTGCTCAGAGCCGTTCGTCACGTGGCTCTAATGAAGTCCAGAAGTTGGAAAGTAACTCATCCAAGTGTTCTGGAAGGGAGAAGCTGTGGTAGGTAAGGTCTGGACAGAAACGCCTTTTCTTCTCAGTGACCACTTCCATTACATGGTCCGTAACAAAAGCCGTTTTCGTAACATTGCTGTGCAAAACTTTTCTTAACAGTTTAAAACCCTTTTAATGTTGACTTTGTAACCACGCGCCTTTAATGGGCAATTTTGGTTGGGCGTGTTTTGTAAAGACTTGAAACATGTTTGGATGGGCGCATAACGTCATAAATTGTGACTAGCCGGCAATAAACAAGATCATAGTTTTATGGACAAGTGTGATCTCTTACGACCAAAATTTGTCGAAGCTTATTAAAAACATCTGATGGAATTTCGGACGCAGAAGCGACGAAACAAACTTCTATGCAGTGTCCTAGAATTGCCCATTTTGGGTGGAAAGCAGCGCCCTATGAGGAGAAATTTTTGCTCCTGCTCCCCATATTCATGCGAACATTTGACTCTTACCTGATATTTTCTAACCACTCATACCAAACTTATGTATCCCTTTCAGAGGTTTTAAAATGTCATCCAAAACCGAGATCACTTGGACCTACCAAGCGTAAACAATGCTCCATAGAACCTGAACACCCATGGCTATATACTGCCTCGTCTACATCTGAATCATGTCCATGTATGCACAGAGCAAGAGCACCGGGTGCCTTCATGCCCGAGAGCCTCAGCGATTCCAGGCGCTTGCATGCATCAAGTGTGGTTTATTTACAAAATGCATCACAATCTATCGCTGTGTGCCAAATGCTTTTCAAAGCAAAGGTTTTCACGCATCCCCAACTTTTTGGGCCACGCCACGCGAACACCACGCCGGCAAAGCGAAGCCTGGTATAAACACCAGCAAAGCCCGGCAGACAATCTTACTCCACGTATTTCTTTTACCCAAAGAAACTTCACCACTACATTGCATTACTCCCAAAATGTGGAGTGGAAAATTCCAGAAATGTTTTCTAAATGAAATATAATAGCTGAATTTCACTATTTGAACACTGAGTTTCACAAATTTTTAGTCCAGTAAGCTGACTGCAAAATTTGGCCAACAACT